GGAAACTTGACTACCCGACAAAGATATTAGAGTGCACGAAATTCTGACAGGGAGAGCCAAAATCAAGAAGTGGATTTCTTTAGGAAACAGTTCTACCAAAAACATGGGGAAAGGAGTAATTTAAAGTGTTCAAGACATATTAAATGCATGATTGACTCCAAATTGCTATTTAGTGTGCCTTGTATTATACGATGTAAAACCACACCCATCTATGGAATGTTAAGCTGACACTCAAGACCATCAAAGCCTTCTATATTCAATATCCCACTATTTTCTGGTTGACCAAAAAATAAACGAGCAGTAAATTATTTCACCTCTTAAAAATAAACATTTACACCTAAAAAATGGGTTGAGGTGGAATTCCCTCTTCCTTAAAAAAGTTAGCATTTACAAAATAGTTGATAAAAATATTCCTCTGGATTGTACAGAAAGGGAGACAGGGACCACTGATAAGACACGGTATATGATATTAATTAGATTTGGCTTCTTTCTCTCCTTCATCAAAAAGGCTGGAATCTCCTTGTTTTCAGTTTCTGTTTTCTGCAGGTTAAATCTGCTTTAGATTTGTGGTTAGCCATTTCTGCCTGTTTTCCATTTGCTTTACTTTCCCCTTTTGTTTGCACTTTGCTGATTTATCCTTTCCTGCTGCCTTGGCTTCATTTCCACTTTTGCGGGAGCAGGTTTAGTTGACAACCTAGCCAACCTCTTGGGCTCCTCCTTTGCTGCCATCTTGGTGGAGCTTACCTTCCTCTTGGGCATTGTGGTGGCAGGCGCCTGCTGGGTGCCTTTGGGAAATTGGGCTGCTGGGCTGCTTGGCAGCTGCTGGGACCCGCTACATGTCCAGTTTTTAAAGAAACTGCCAAAACTGTTTTTGTAGTGGTTGTACCATTTTACAGTCCCACCAGCATTATATGAGTGTGCCAGTTTCTCTGCATATTTGTCAGCATCTGGTGGTGTGACTATTTTAAAACTTTACCTCTTCTGACAAGAGCGTAGTACTATCTCATTGTAGTTTTAATATGATTAATTTTGAGTTAATTTTGTATAAAGTGTGACTTTTAGGTCAAGGTTCATTATTTTTTTTGCTTGTGGATGTTCCTTTTTTGAAAAGGCTTCCTCCACTGAATTGGGTTTGAAGTTTTGTCAAAAATGAGTTTGAACATATTTTTGATCCATTTCTGAGTTCTTTATTCTGCTTCATTGATCTTTTTGTCTCTTCTTCCACCAATACCATACTGTCTTGATTACTATAACTTTATAGTAAGCCTTGATATTTAGTAGGGTAATTCCTTCCACTTTATTCTTTTTTGTCAAGATTGTTTAAGCTATTCTAGGGCCTATGCCTTTCCATATACATTTTAGTATAAGCTTGCCTAAGTCTACAAGAAATCTTGCTGGGATATTTATAGGAATTACATTAAGTCTAAGATGAATTTGGGAAGAATTGACATCTTTACTCTGTTGAGTCTTCCAATCCATGAGCATAATGTCTCACATTTATTTAGAATTTTGATTTCTTTCTTTAATTACTCAAAAATGAATTTAACAAAATGTACAAAATGCAGCAAGATTTTTTGAATATTATTTTAAAATTATAAACCTAGCAAGAGTTGTAGGAAGTTTGAGTAAAGGACAAAAATATCTATAATTTTACCACTTTAGGTTAATTGTTCTAAATTTTGTTTAATTAATTTACTTAATAAGTATATAATGATCACCTACTAATTCCCAGAAAATGTGCTAGGTGCTGGGTAGATTACCCTTACCTTTCTGAAGTCTACAGTCTATTGGGAAAGAAAAGTGTATTGCCTTAAAAATCGCACACGTGTAATTACAACCGTGATAACATTTTGAAGGTGAAGTCCATGGTGCACTCAATATGTAGTAGAGATAGTTGACCAATTTTAGTGTTCAAGGAAGACTTCTCTGAGAAGCTCATAATTGAGCTGAGATCTCAAGGATGAGAGGGAATAAAATAGGTAAAGGGAAGTGTTGGTGGAATCTTCCAGGCAGAAGGAGCATGTGCAGAGGCCCTGTGGGAAGAAAGGAGTATGGCTATGGCTTAAGAACTGAGGGAGAGCTTAGAGAAAATCTGAAATCTGGCAGGAATTCAGTAATATAGGGTGTATATTGTAGACCATGTTAAGGGCAAAACTATGAAAGCAGTGAGATGTTGAAGTTTTTAAGTAGTGGAATAATTTAAGATTTGCAGTTTGAAAAATTAACAGCTTCAGTGTGTAGAGCAGATTGGAGTGGGGAAAGAATAAAAGTAAGGAACCCACTTAAGAGGCTTTTACAGTTGTCCACATGAGAGTTGTTGGTAGCTTGGACTAGGGTAATGGTGGAAATAGACAGGTTAATGAGAAATATGGGAGGATCAATTTATATGTACTTTTTATATAATAGATAGCTAACCCTTCTTTATATATACTATATTTCTCTAATTCTGTAATTACTTTAGATGTTTAAATACAGAATTAAAAAATTTATATGTAGTTTAAATTTTTTCTATGTGATTTCTGCTGTTTCTTCAAGACAAATCATTTAAGAATATGCATTACGAATAGAAAAGAAATTTTTTTATTTATTAGATGTGTTTATTCATCTAAGGATAGGAAATGATTTTGTAAATGACCCTGTAATAGAAGCATGTGGGTGTATTACTGTCCTCCTTTAATGCTAAGATTGTACAGATTCTTTTTGATAATGAGATGTAACAACTGTCTTAAACTATTTGAGAGGTTTATAAGACAGTTAAGGTTGCTCTATTTAAATCATTGACTAAGCCAGTAATTCTCTACTCTGATTATAAAATAAGATCATCTGGGGAGCTTTTTAAAAATTTAATTTAGGTAAAATTCACATAACATAAAACCTAACATTTTAACCATTTTAAAGTGTACAATTTAGTGGCTTTTAGTACAGTCAAATTATTGTGCAATTGTTACCAGTTTATAATTCCTGAACATTTCGATCATGCCCCTCAAAACCCTATAGACATTAAGCAGTCAATCCACATTTCCCTCTTTTCCAGCTCCTAGTAATATTAATCTGCTTTCTGTCTCTACAGATTTGCCTATTCTGGATGTTTCATATAGTCATACAATATTTGGGCCTTTATGATTGGTTCATTCACTTAACATGTTTTCAAAGTTTGTTCATGTCGTAGTGTGTATTATTACATCATTCGTTCCTCCCCTCCCCCACAGGAGCTGTACCATTTTATATTCCCATCAACAGTGTACTGGGGTTTCAGTTTCTCCATATCTTCCTCAACATTTGTTATTTTCCCTTTTTTTAAAAAAATAGCCATCGTAGTGGGCTTTGTAGTTCCCTGATCACTAATGACATTGAGAATCTTTTCATGTGCTTACTGACCATTTGTCTCTGGAGAAATGTCTGTTTAGATTCTTTACCAATTTTTAAAATTGGTTTATTTACCGTTTTACTATTGAGTTGCAAGAGTTCTTTATATTTTGGATACAATTACTTTATTATGTAGATGATTTGCAAATTTTTTTCCATTTTTTTTCTTTCACTTTCTTGATATCATGGATTGAAGCACCTTTATATTAAGGTTTTTAATTTAGATGAAGCCCAATTTATCTATTCTTTTTGTTGCTTATACTTTCGATGTCATATATAACAAACTATTGCCTAGTCAAGATCACAGAAATTTATGATTGTGTTTCACTTAAGAATTTTACCTGAATCTTACATTTAGGTCTTTGATCCGTTTTTTTGCAACATTTCGTATGTGTGACGTAAAGGTCCAATTTCATACTTTTGCCTGTGGATATCTGCATTTGTTGAAAAGACTGTACTTTCTGCATTGAATTATCTTGGCACCTTTGTCGAAAATTGATAGTAAATGTGTGGTTTTTTTCTGGATTTTAAGTTCTGTTCCATTAATCTTTATCCTTGTACCATTGCCACAGTGTCTTAAAACTGTAGCTTTGTAGTTTTGAAATCGAGATCTGTGAGTTCTTCAACTTTTTCCTTTTTTTTTTCAAGATTGCTTTGGCTATACTGGGACCCTTATGTTTCCATGTGAATTTCAGGATCAGCGTGTCTATTTCCACAATAAACTCCAACAGGGATTTTATTAGGGATTATTTTGTATCTGTAGAGCAATTTGGGGAATATTGCTGTCTTAACAATATCGAGACTTCCAATTCATGAACAATAGATGTCTTTGCATTTATTTAGATCTTTTTTTTCAATAATATATTTTTAAGTTTTCAGGTACAAATCTTACACTTCATTTGTTAAATTTGTTCCTAAGCATTTTATTATTTCTGATGCTATTAGAAATTGAATTTTTAAAATTTCATTATCGGATTGTTTATTGCTAGTGGATAGTAATACAAATGATTTTTGTAAATTGACCTTGTATCCTGCAATCTTACTGACCTCGTTCATTAGTTATAAGTTTTTTGTGGATTTCTTAGTTTTTTTTTTTTTTAATACAAGATCATACCATTTGCAAATGGCAGTAGTTTTACTTATTCCTTTGTAATGTGGATGTCTTTTATTTCTTCTTCTTGAATAATTGACCTGTCTAGAATCTCCAGTATAATGTTCAGGAGAAATGATGAGAGCAGGCATTCTTGTCTTGTTACTATCTTAAAGAGAAAGCATTCAGTCTTTTACCTTTAAGTATGATATTAGCTGTGGACTTTTTGGAGATGTCCTTTGTCAGGTTGAGGCATTGGTATTTAAAAAATATTGTAGATAAACTATAATATATAGTCAAGAAAACCAATTATCTGAGTTAATATTTAAGGAACTAGGATAAATCATTGTATTATTCCTATAGAAATTTCACTAAAGAGATGAGATTTATATATTTTCTTCTATAGGAAAAATACAAATTTTAATTAGTGGAAAAGTCCAGAAATCTATCTTTTTACTTTTTTTAGATGGTTATCTTTTACTTTTACACGACTAAATTACAAATAGAATCTAGAAAACTTATCCTATTTGTCCTTGTATTTCAGACAAAAGGATGCCACGGAGAAAGAAAAAAGTTAAAGAAGCCTCTGAAGTTCAGAATCTGGAAAAGAAAGATGTAGAAACTACCAGTCCTGTCAATTTGAAGAGGAAGCGTAAACTTGAGGATGCATTCATTGTGATATCTGATAGTGATGGAGAGGTCAGTATTCTGAAGAGTGGAGCTCTAGGTCTCAAACTAGGCTTTCTTAATCAAGATTGGTTTGTTTTGTGACTAAACCTTAATGCCAGCTTGCCTGACCAGGTAATTTTTATTCAGCTTCAATTCGATTTGTAAATGGAATTAAGAATTACTTAAGAGAAAATAATCATACTGTTTGGCTAAGGATGGATTATAGTTCCTCTGTTTTGTAATATTATTAATTCAATACGATATTTTAAAACTATTTGAACAATCTACATCAAATATAAATCTTAATTTTCACGTGTCTGGAAAGTGATATAAATATTCTTTAAGTCTCTAGATAAACTTTATCCAATACGGTAGCAACTAGCTACCTGTAGCTATTTAAATTTAAATTAATTAAAGTTCAATAAAAGTAAAAATTAGTTCCTTTGTTACACTAGTCACATTTCAAGTGATCAAAGCCACATGAATCTGTATTGGTCTGCTATATTAGGTAGTACAGCTTTAGAACTGTACTAATTGTAGAAACCTAATTGTAGAAACCTTTTTTTATTCCCATCCTAATTGTAGAAACCTAATTGTAGAAACCTTTTTTTATTCCCATCCCCCTACCCTCCTCCCCTTTGGCAACTATCATTGTTCTCTATGGGTCTGTTTCTGATTTGTGTATTTTTGTTTAGATTGCGCATGTGAGAGAAATCGTATATTTGTCTTTTTCTGGCTTATTTCACTTAGCATAATAACCTCTAGGTCCATCCATGTTGTCACAAGATTTCATTCTTTTTTATTGCTGAATAATATTCCATTGTATGTAAATACCATATCATCTTTATCCATTCATCTGTTAATTGTAGAAAGCTTCATTTGACAGTGCTCTCTAGAGCTTAATGTCTCCTTTGTTTCCTATTTTCATTCGTTTATTGGAGATTTCCACTTTCCTATAGGTCACATCCAATAAGGCAGTGAACTAAGTCATTTTTTTTTTTTCTCTGACTTCTCTTTATCTTATATCTCATTTGTGGTAGAAATACTCAGTTGCCTCAAAATATAAAGCTCAGATTTATCTTTTTTAAAAAAATTTTAAAATTTATTTATTTTTATTTTTTTATTTTATTTTTTCCCCCCTCTTTAATTTTCCCCCAATTTCACCCCTGAGCTACGAATGTTGCTATCTCCCCTTAAGAACTGGATCTCTGAAGGCAAAGTGTCTCCTCCCACGTGCTTGTGGTGTGCACCCGGGGCCAGGCGCATCCGGGATATGGTCTGTGGCTCCACCTGGGGTGCGAACCCAGGACCTTCTGTGTGTAAAGCAGACGTGCTAATCACTACAGTATGGAGCCAACCCTCAGATTTATCTTTAACTCTTTCTTCTTTCTCATCTTTTATACCTAGTCATTCACCACATCCTTTAGTTTTTATCTTTTAAACGCAGATCATCCTTTCATATCTACTTTTCTTGATCATCTGTTGTTTGAGTTCTTACTAATAGACCCAGAACTTGCTTCTCTGCCTTCACTTTTTACCCTCTACATTTCACTTAGCTTACTCCACCTTTCTGTGAAGAATTCAGATTTTAGATTATTGTACTTGATTGCTTAAAAATCTGTGACTCAATCCCTGCAATGTCAGTTCAGAATTTTAATATGGTATACCCTATTGGAACCATTGCAATCTAATCTCATTTATATTCTTAACAGCAGTGCATTCTTTGTCCTCTTGCCAAGACTATTACCACTTTTTTTATTTTTCCCAGTTTGATAATCAAAAAGTTATATATTTTAAATAATCAGCAGGATTGAACATTTTTTTATATCTCTGTTGGGTATATATTTTTAAAAAAATTTCCTCATAGTCTAGTTTTTAATTAGGATTTTATCTGAATAGTTTCTTTTAATATGTAAAAGTATAAAGAAGAAAACAAAATAGTCCCATCAATTCTACCACTTGGATAACCCGTCTTAATATTAACAAAAATAAAATAGTTATATATGTAGAGATATGTTGGAAAGTTACATACATACATATTAAAAAATCAAAACAACAAAAACAGGTCAAAGCTGTTAGAAAACAAAACAATATAGAAAGGTATAATATAAAGATGTATACCTCAGTGTACATTTAATGAAAGGTAATAATTTCTTTTGTATTATTCCAGAAAAAATTCTTTAGTCATTTACCATCAATAAAAACTTCTACAGGAAAGGAATGCTACACATACTATTTTGCTTTTTCACTTAATATTTTTGGAGATCTTTCTGTAATAGCACATATAGATCTATCTCATTAACTTTGTTAAAATGGTCAAATATACATACAGAAGAGTGCATAAAATGTAAATGCATAGTTTTAAAAAATGATCTGAATACCTGTATTCGCCACCTTGTAAACCCTCTTGATTTAGTGTGATCCTCCCCAATTGCTTCCCTTTCCATCCATCTAAAGGTAACCACTATATTTGTTTTTCTTTACAATTATCTTTACGATTGTACCACATTTATATGTACCTCTAAACAGTATGTATATATTGGAAAATTGGGTCTCTGTGGTTAGACACTTCTCCAGTGTTTTTCTATAATCTGTTCTTTCTCCAAAGATTTGAAATTTTACCTTTATTGTAAACTGAAATCTTGTCTATAAATGGGTTTGTTTTTGGATTTTTAATTTTGTTCCATTGATCTGTCACATATTTTTGAAATAATTGTTTAGTTGATTATCTTGGTTTTTTTAGGTAGGTATTTGTATTTGCTAATAATGCTCATTTTCTCTTTCTTTCTAGTACTTATACCTAATTTTTTTGTTTCATTGCAAAAAATGTTTCATTGACTGTAGCCTCCAGAATAATGTTGATTGATATCAGTGGTAGAGTACACCTTCATCTTGATTTTGAATACTTCTTAACTGTAAAAGTATTCTCATATTTGCTTTTGTTTCATATTTTTATTATATAACAGAAATATCCTTTAATTGCTTATTAGCTATTAATATTTTTAGGAATGGATGTTTAATTGAATGCCTTTAATTAGCAAGATGATGATGGTATAGTTTTTCTCTTTTAATTAGTTAATATATTTAATTGGTACATTTTCTAATGTTGGAACATATTTGCATTTCTGGAGAAAATCTTACTCGGTCATGATGTATTACATTAACATAATATTGAATTTTCTTTCTCAGTATATCAGGAGTTTTGCATCTGTATTCCTAGTGGCATTGATTTTACATAATTGTCTTTTTTTTCGGGTATTTATCAGATTTTAGTTTCAGGTTTATGTTATAAAATAGAAGGGAAACTTCATTTTTTAAGTCCTGCCACAGTTTAAATAGTAAAGGAATTAATTGTTCTTTAAGATTTACTAGCACCTGGTCATAAAACTTGGCTACCAACTAATATTTAATATATACTTACGTTTTTTTAATGTCTTGGTATTTTTCAAAAAGACCTTTTTTGTTTGTTTCAGAATGTAAAGTAGTAGTTCGTAGAGTCATTTTAGAGAACACATCTATTTAGCATTGTGAGTTGAAAATCGAATGAATTATTTATTTCTTTTGTTCTTTGAACTGACAGTGCTAACTCCAATTTATTTTTCAGCTTAGATAGCAATTCCTTTGGAGATGCTTGCAGATTTTCCAAGACTGGGTCAATTAGTCATCTGTTGTACTTCCATAGAACCTATACTTCTGTAGTATTAGTTGTCACACTGTTTTGAAATTGCCATTGTGTTTTTCTGCCTTCATCATTGGACCGTGATTTTCTGGCTGGCAGAAACTTTTTATTTTGAATACCTAAAAATAGTGGTTGGCTTGTATTAGTAGGCAGTCTCAAAAAATATCTGTATTAGGTTTTACTTGTTGGTGCTGTTTTATTTCTTTGAATATTTCTTTAAGAAAATGTCCTAGTTCCCGGTGCAAAAGAAGCCAGGAAATATCTTTTTTCCCCCTCATTTGTTTGTTTTTTGGCTTTCATTTTAATGTAAAGATAATGGCACAAACCTAACATCACTGGGGTTTGTCACAGCTTGGTTTTGGTGAGTAGTTACTTGGGCTGATCCATTTTCCTATTTTCACTCTTACCATGTCCCTAAGACAGCAGAGATGAGCTTTTGCAAACTCTGCTGTTGTGTTTAAATTGCCATTTACTATGTGACCTTTCTAAACTTTTTACTCTTATGTGTAAAACTACTAATACTTACTCTGTAGGATTGTTGTGAGAATTAGAGATTACATAAGTTGTATTTCCTAGAGTGTGGTACTTCAGTAAATGATAACTGATTTTATAAATGTTCAGGGTATAGTCTCAGGCTGTTAGGGATTTACGTGGCCACTAACTGACCTATGTGGACAAGAACCTTATTAGTTGTCTTCTCTTACATTCTTCCATTTTAAAATAAAATAATAAAAACCCAAAGGAAAAGAAAAAGAATACTTGGAGTTTTATGGTTGCACAGAGCTAGTTTTATTCCTGACCTTACACTGAGCCTCACTTTTCTCATTTATGAAATGGGGTCAGTGATACTCTTCTCACAGGAACTTTGAGAGAAATTAAATGATGTAATGTATATAGAGTGCCTGGCACATAGTAAGTATGCAGTATATGGTAACTGTTATTATTACTCATATTAAAAAGCTTTACTTGATGACAAAATGTAGTTGGGTATAAATTTCCAGTTAGTCTTTTAAAATTTATACCGTTTCTAGATGCAAAGTACTTCTTAATATAGTATGTTAGAGGAAGTAAGAAATTCACTCATCTCAAACCTATTACTCTTTAAAGCTGGTAGACTTATATTGTAAGAAACACGTTTATATGAGATTACAAAAAGTGTGCTGTATCACAAAATCACTCCTTTGATACTGGTTGAAGCATCTGCCTCACTGCCTGAAAGATGATGCCCACAAGGGTCTGTAACCAATTAGATTTTGTCAGTACCAAAACAGTTCATGGGACCAGTTGATGAATCAGATTTACTTATTCTTGTCTTTTTCAATCTTTAGTTCTCCATTTACAAGATTCTCAG